GGGAATAATAGAAAGAGATCAGATTGTATTTCAAGAGGCTCGGAAAAGGAACATACCAATCTTCATGTTGACTTCAGGAGGATATCAGGTAATTAATGTTGTTGATTTCCATCGAAAATAGTTATTTGTTACTTTGCAGATTTATATGGAAAAAGTCTTGTACAAATTGGTTGACTTTAAGTGTGATCAATATGGATCTTTTCCTTACACATATATTTATTTGTAAGTGTTGAAAAAAAGGGGCAAAACAACAAGTTTTCAAAAATTTATTCACTGAAATCTCTGTAAGTGCTATTTCATTTTGATCCCTTTTTCAGTGTTTTTGTTTTTGTTTTTTTTTTCAAGATTTTCCAGAAACTTTTCCATGAATATTAAGTGATAACATTTTTATGCCTCCAAATTTTGAAAGTTTTCAATTGGTAGGTGGTTTAATTTATATGTTTCCTTTTTTGTTTCTTTTAATAACTCATCAAGAGACGGACAGCCCGGATCATTGCAGACTCAATCCTTAACTTGCAAAAAGAGGGACTGATTTCCTGTAATTATTCAGACTCTGGTGAGTTTGTTAACTGTAAATAAACCATTCAACCTTTGTTGTTTCTGCAATTGCCCGGATGTGCTGTGCTGAGGCTTGCATGCCCATCAGAAGCAAGGATTAGCAAGTCAGTCAGTGCCCAGCCTTCTGGTGCAGTCCAAGGTTGTGAGCAATTCCTCTAGAAGTCACCTTAAATTCTCATTTCGACTTTTCTTTAAAAATTTTCCTTAACTTGTAGCTCCAAGTAGCTATAAATACCCATAAAAAGAGTTCTTTTGAAGGGTGTGGGATGGGAGAGGGGGCTGATTAAAATAAGCACACTGTCAGCCTCATGTTTGTTATTCTAATGTGTATCATCACAAGTTACCGACATAAAAATTGATAATGACCTTTACCTTAATTGTTTATGCCCCATTTCCTGGCAGGAGTGTTATTTCAAGAGAAGTGTGTACAAATAAACTCAGAAAAAGCCTAAAAGTGGAGGTCCTGTTAAAAATTCGAACCATTCACTGGGCAAGAAAACTAAGAACCTCTGACTTAGTCTTGTGGAAACTATTGTTGGTTACGTATTGTTTTGTGATGTGGGTATTATTCAGTGTCTTTTCAATCTTTTTTTATTACATCATTAACTCTTTAAGCCCCAATATCCAGAAACAAATTCTCCCAACTGATCTCTATACATTTCCTTAAAGAATGTGTTCAGAGAATTTAATGAAAGATCAAAGCATTTTCTTTTTGGTGATCATTTTATTAATTCTCATAACCTAATCTCTTGACAATGTATTGGTATCATTAGGAGAAAATTGATGTCGGTCACCATTGGGCCTTAAAGGGTTAATGGTGATTGCACCCATCCTCAAAAGCCAGGAACTTCCAAATTAATGGCTAAATGCACACTTGTAACTTCATTCTATCCATTTTTGGTAGCCTCCCTGCATGGGGGACACAAAAAATGTTGGCCAGGGTACGTGAGAGATGGAGGGTGAGAGAAGAAAATGGGAAGAGGCCCTCTTCCTCTTCCTTCCCCTCCCCTTTTTTGTGGGTTTTGTCTTATTTTCTGTCTATCTATGTTCAACAGGACCAAAAGGAAACAGATGCAAGAGTAACAATAAGCAAACAACGTACAACACTTTCCATCATAATCTGTAATTAATACTGTGGTATCCATAACCATTTAAAGTGTTTTGTTTCCTTGCCTTGTCAGTAGGTAAGAGTAGATCGGTTAGGAACAAAGAGTCGTGTTGTTCAAACTTAATGAATACTTGTCATGTGTACAGGCTAGCATGTAATAATTAGAAAGAGATGGAGAGGTTAGTCATTCATGTGTTTTTCTTTTGCAAAGAAGGGGAGGATCCATTGAGTAATGGAAAACGAAATGCTTCATACCTTATGGTGTAATGGTAATACTATATTTATTTATTGTTGTTAAGTGTCCTTAGCTATCAGTGCTATAGGAAGTATTAATAATACTTACATGTACATGGACATTGTGAGGAAATCCTGGTAGCCATGTTTTAAAGCTTAGATAAAGTGAATAATGGATTTCATGTAAAAACTCAACATCATGTTAAATAATTATGTGCATAAAAGATTAAAAGCTGTCTTCCTCAGCAACACATGGCCACTCAATCAAAGCACAAAAAAACTTGATGACAAAAAGTGAGTTTTCAAGCACAGGTCGCGTTCAAAATGGGAACCATCCTTGCTTCTTTGAGAATGAAAAGCTCTTTTATGTGAAAAAATGTAAGGAGGATTTATCAAGTTTTTGAAAAGATTGACAATAATAGACTTCGAGTAGTCCCCTTTTTTCCTCAGAGATAGTAGAGCAAGCGAAACACGAGCGTGCATGAAAATCACCCCATGCAAGAAAGGCTAGACACGGAGGTGAGGTGAGGTCATTTTTCTCTCTCACCGCCACGTCTCGCCTTTCTCACGTGCGGTGATTTTCACACGGGCTCCCATTTCACTTGCTTTACTATTCCCAAGGAAAAATGGGGACTACTAGTCTTGTAGTCTAAGTCAACTTTCTAATTTAGTGTTTACTCACTGAGCTTATATAAACCAAGAGGAAATTAATGAAGACTACAGTGTACAAAACATCTCTAACAATTTACATTAAATTAAATCCCAAGTTAATTAAAGGACACAATGCGAAATTAATGTCCTCTGCCTGCTCTTAATTTATGCAGGTGAACTAAACAACATAAAAGTTGTGCAATAACTGTTTTGCAGAGTTCATGCAAAATTTCAATTTTTGTATTTTTTGTTTATGGGTTCTCAAAGAACCACAGCCATAGATTTATTATCAGTGCCAAATTTAAGTTTCATAAGATTTGTAGCAAACTAATGGAAAAATGGGCCTCCAAACAGGTCAATGTATGGTGTGGGGCTAAGACTGCCCTTGTGCTATACATTTCCATGCAATAATATATCTTGTTAACAGGGGCGGATCCAGGATTTTTTTTAGGAGGGGGTTCACTCGTCTCTTGCTCTACTTCAACACCAATAAACCACATAGTTTTTTTTTTTTGCAGAATACCAGTTGTATTAGAAAACCGCAAGTCATTTCTGGGGGGGGGGTGCGCACCCCCCTGCACCCTCCCCCTAGATCCACCCCTGGTTAAAGGCCCCTCATCTATATTACTTTACAACAAATCTCCTTGAACATTCACAGTTTTTCTGAATTTGACCCAAAGCGGTGTTTTTAGCTAGGTCTCTAATAAAAATTATGGCATCTACGAAACCTGTTACGGACAAGCCATGATTGTAAATGGGGTTGGTAGGCCTGCAGATCAGGCTTTATAAACTCCTCATAAACTAGCCAGCCCAAAGCACAAGTGATTTTGTAAATTTTCATCTCCAGGCTATAAAAGGCAAGAAATATTGCAGCAATATTTGCAAACTGTTTCATTTTCCTTTCTGAAAGGTATAACATAGATCAAGGTAGGGTAAAACAACTAAGAAACAAGCTATAAGTAGTCAAAAATATTACAGAAATTAGATTAACTAGTAATTACCAAATGACAACAAAGTACAGCAAGTATAATACTCTTTTAATTAGACAAATGAACACCATACATCAACTTCAATGTACAGTACATTCATTAAAATTCTGAAGACTAATAAAATTCCTTTAAACCTCAATGCTTTGTGAAAATAAAGTCCTTGTCTTCAAGCCATCTCCTTGGTTGCATTCTATTAGCAAATGCCTTCAAGCCATTCTCAAACTTAAAATATAATTAACATGTGCAAGTTCACAGGTAAAACACCGCTTTATTATGAAAGTTCAACTGGAAACACAAATCTTCATCTGCTTGTTGTATTAAACTGCATGAAGTATGCTGCAGTTGGATCGTTAGTGTAAACTTCCTTGTCAAGGTATTCCATTCTGCAATGAAGCAAGGAAAAATTATGAATTTTCTACCAACCATTGGAAAGTCAAAGACATACTTTGGCCCAATTCTGAAAGAGGATTTTGGAAAGTGTACTGTTCATGGCTTCCTTTGAGTTAATTCATACATGTAAAGTACACCTACTAATCTTGCAAACACTCCAAACCCATGTTTTTTAAGCTTTGGGAAACAAAGGGTATGATATTGTGTTACTTCTAAAGAGCAGGGGAGAGCTAAATAAAAGAAACCAAGTGATGGAATGATAGATTTATTTATGTCTTGAATTTTCCGATATTTGAATGAGAAAAGAATTAATGATAGTTATAACTTACTTGGCTCTTTGTTCTGCTGAAAGTCTCCTGTTCTCATCAGCCTGGTCCACTTCAATCTCTTTCTTCTTTCTTTCAATGCTTCGCTCAGCGAGGATTCCTGCTTTGGCTTGTGTTAACCTTAATCTGTTGTATTCTTTCTCTTGTTCTTCTTCTTGTTGTTTAAATCTCTGCAGAAAGTGAAAATGGAAAGGTCAGACAGAAAAAATTCTCAGTCCTAACATGTACTCAGTTCTTTTGGCAGGATGTTTGATCCTTCTGTTATTGGCAGCAACTTAATTTATTTACTAACAGCACACAGTATCAGGGGCCTGTTTGGTTAACCATGCTGAGATTAACTCTAAAAATTTCTTGTTTTCCATTTTCATTATTGTTTACTACATGACCCTGTATTACAATATATGGCTTAACATACTTTGCAGATAAAAAGAGTGTTTGGAACAGATTCTTTGGATCAGACCATTCTTATCCCAAAATGTGATCAATCATTATGCAGTGTTCTCTAAAATTTAGGCCAGTCATGGGCAGTAAGGCAAGAAATATGCACCAGAGGCACACTTTTCTTGGAGGAGGGGGGTAGTGGAGTGAGGGACATGGCCTCGCCCTCCCTGGGAAGTTTAGGAGCTTAGTTCTCTGCAACATCATTCCATCAATTTTAAAAACCTATTAACGCGTTTAACCAGTAACAATAGATTAGCAATCTGTTGTTAAAAATTGTTAATAACCTGCTCAAACTCGTTTTATAGTTCTAAACAGACATCGCTCGTCTAGTTAATTTCTGTGACGACTGTTTAATGCTTATTTTGTGATAACCGAGTTCAATAATTAATCGTTGGATCACCGAGTTTGTTTTAAATTTTTAATGTATATCCTCAGGAAGCAAAGCGATCTGCCATTTTCATGCAAGAGCGATCACAAGAAGGAGAAAAGCACAGTTTCCTTCACGCATGTGCAGAATATTATTTGCAGCCAAACACAGTTGGACAGCATTGTGCATGAGCAGACGATTATTTGTAGGCAGTTATTTGCAGGTCACATGGTAGGCTCTTGGCCAATGAAAGAAATAAAAAGTTGCTTCGAATGATAATTTAAAATGCTTGAATCCAATAATTTTACTCTGTCTTCAATGTTCTCTTTCTAAAAAGCATGGCTCATGAAAAGAACAGCTGTGTACACTTAGTACTTTTCCAAAAAAATTATTCATTTTCCTTGTGGGAATCGTATCGGATCACAACTTCCTTTTTTTAAAATATATTCTTTTGACCAAGGCACATAACCCAAGCCACAGGAAAAAGACACATACGTGGCCATGATCACATCAATTAGCACTTTCACTGATAGTATATCCTTTAACTTATTGTAAGAGATATTTATTTACCTGTTTCTCTTCAATCTGGGCCTGTTGAATGTGCCTTATTTCAGCAAGTTGTGCTGGACTCATCCCCTTCCAGCGATCCGTTATTACCCTGTGGGGGCCAAAAGCACTCTGAGCAACATCAGGATTTTCTGTAAGCATGTCACCAAACACATGATTAGAAATCTCAGTAAAATTGTCATCTTGCTCCTGTTGTCTTTCAGTATCCTCCTTGGCCTTTCTTTCTCTAGCCAATGCTTCATTCATGTCCTTTGTTGCCATGTTTATGGCCCGCCGACAATCAGCTTCAGCACTCGCAAGTTCGCAAGCCCTTTGATCCATTTCTCTGGCTTTTAGATCATATAAATGATCTGCATACTTCTGATTTGCATCTGCTTGATTCTTTTCATTTGTTTGCTGCTTAATCCATTCTCTGTGAATAAAAGGTTGGTTGCGGTAAATGGGTAAATTAAACCATACAGGATCAGTCCACATGAAATTTTATAGTCGTGAATAACTACAGTCAACCATTTATTAGTGAATTATAATTAGGGGAGAGGGCCAGGGCTTATTAACTTTCTAGTGAATAATAATTAGGGGGGGGGACCTTATTAACTTTCCTCCCCTTAAAAAGTGGGGAGGCTTAATAGAGGATTGATGGTATATTGTTCGGAGAAAATTGATGTTGTTAACAGCTGATGCTCAAAGGTAATGTTGACTTAATCTGTTGCCATGCCAACTCTATGCTCTGTTAACAGTTAACCCAGAATTTCTGGGCCTGAACTAGGCTTTGAATGACTCTGGAATATAGTATTGGATATTATTGGCAAGGATAGCCTCAGCCCTGAGTGGATGTTTTTGTTGATTCTTTCTTTGTTGCCTGTTTTAAGAGATTCAATTTACCATCATTTTAATCATTTCAAACCAGTTCAATTTTTATGTTTATTTTTTTGTCCCAGATTAGTCTGCTCCACAGCTATTCTTTATGTTGTCATGCAACGCTTCTCCCCACAAATGGCCACTGAGAACCAAACCACATTCCTTTCCCTTTCACTGTTTGTGGTCTAAAGAAATATTGATCGGTTCTCAGCAGCTATTTGTGGGGGGGAGCATTGTGTGACAAGACAAAGAATTGGCAATGAAGCCAGACAAGTCCCAGATAAATCACACAGAGGAAAATAAAAAATTACCTTGTTTGAAAAATAAAACACAACAAAGTAAAACTCACCGTGCTTGCTCTTGCTGTAGTTTTGATCTTGCCTTGCCATTCAGATCTTCTCCAACAAACTTTTGCAGTGATGACACACCGCAACGAGGGTCATCATCTGATACCCTGGCTGGTTTGTCTTTCTTCAAAGCATCAGGATCATTGAGATCAAACTCGCGTCTACCGTCTGGCTGTTGGTGCGACTGGCGAAATTCATTAACTGCTTTGTTCAGCTCACGGATGTCATGTTCTTGACGCCTTTGAAGGAGCACAGCAATTTTGTCATTTCTCGTCATGTCAGCAGCTGTTTAAGAGGAAATAGAGAAGTTATATTCAGAAATGCTGTTGGTGAAATCAGTATTCTTTCAGTCCATTATGAAATTATTATTTAATTGTGTTATTTAATGCACCAACAAAAAAGGCTAAAAATGTTTTATATTTACTTCAAAATATTTCCTTATTGCCAGGAGTAACTATCATGAGTAACTTACCAAAAGCATTATGGCGTCTTTGCTCTTCAACTTCCCGTCTATTTCGGTCTGTCACTTGATCATTTAATGATTGTAAGTCAATCTAGAGGACCAAAAGATGTGTTAATGAATGAAAAAAACTTTCGTAGAGTATTTTCATGTCTTTCGATATGTTGTTGTTATCGTTTGTTTGCCAAGCTAACTTATCTTGCAAAATTTAGAAATTTACGCCAGTAAAGCTTAGAACAGCTTTGAAAAATGTGCCTAAGAATCATACATTCGTTCTCATACGAGGGCTGTAAACAAATTTTCCCAGTTTTTAGTCTACAACTTAATTTATGGTTAAAAGAAGCAAGACCTCCTTACCCCAATGGTTCGAACTCTTGCGTTGAAAATTCGACTTTGTCGCTGTAGTTCTCGGTTACGCCGCCGTTCTATGGCGGCGGTCTCCTTCATATCGATAGGAAGATCGAGCTTATACATTTTCTTTTTGTACTAAAGGTTTAGATCCTGTTGAAAGATGTTAAATGTTCTGTTTGAAGGCTGTTTCTACTGTAAACTGATCGAGTTGTTGCTTTGCTTTTCTAGCGTACGAGTTCCTTGCTTTGCACAGTTGCTAAGGAAACTCTGAATCCCCATCATGCATTGCAGGATATGTAACTCGCTTCAGTCGCCGACGTGTCGACGGTCTGGAAAGGACTTGGGGCACTGGGCACAATAAATTTGGGGGGAATATTTTATTTACAGCGCCAAAACTATATTCGCATGAATTTTCTAAAGCGCTAATAGAAAGTGGCAAACACAAAGACATAACAAACAGTAGACGCAGAGGAGGCAAAAACAAAACACCGCAATCACTGTACAAGAATATGGTTCATTGGGCCATGAAATGCCAGATAGTCTGCTTGAAACTCATAACACTCCGGACAGCTGAAGGAAGAGTTTTCCACATGTCCCGTAAAACTGAAAATCGGCTTTACAGATGTTATCCCCTAAGATCACATGCTTTCAAGACTACTGTAGGAGTCGTTAGAATTTGAATTTTTATAAGAGGATGTGTGGGAATTAAAATAATATGTCCTAGCTTATGATGCTGCCTTGTAGAAAGATTGAAGGTAAAAATAACTTGCGTTTGTGTAGTAAACTGAGATCAGGCTCAATTTTCGTTTCGCTTTGTAATAACATTCCGGCGGGCAAGGCGAAACGAAAACCAATTTTAGCGGTAGCCGTTATAACCGCTAAAATTGGGCCTGTCAGGTTATTTGTGTAGTGTCTTGTACTGTTTGTTCTGTTCCTGGACCCCTTTTTTCGAAGCCGTACAAATTTCGCGAGGTTTGTTTCCCCTCCGAAAATTCCATAATTATCGTATATAGCTTTGTCCCTTCAGTGCTGAAGCTTGAGGCTCACGATCATCGTGTAACTTTTCCCGGAACCTCCACACCTGCCACACGCCTTTTGTGAATTTTTTAAAGATGCTGGAACAATTTTTAGAGTCCTTTCCGAGTTCTTTTAGGAACTGAATAACACAAAAATTAGAAGAAAGTTACTTGCACTTATTACACAGAACGTACACCTTCCTTTTATCAACAAAAGAATATCCTCTGCCCGTCACCCTAGTCTGCTTCACAGCTCCTTTTTTTGGGGGGGGGGGGGGGGGGGGTTTCGGCCGGCTGCAGACGCACAATGAGGAAATCGTTGAAAGCGTAGGCTCCATAGATCCTTGACTGTCAACTAATCTAGTTTGAGTCTTTAAGACTCAAACTGATGCTTCTATTAAATAGAAAAGCCTCCAGTACAATTGAGCTAAAAATTTCTTACCCAAATTTCTGTTACACATTACACTTCTAAATTCTTTTACACATTTTTCTTTGTTTCCTTCAGCAGCAATATAAAATTATAACATCTACATCATGCTTCAAACTAACCATAGTTGTTGAAAACAGTGATTAATCAGTTCAAATCGTAAAATACTTTTAAAGACCTTAACATTTTTGTATTGTTTAACTTTTTTTCACGGGAAAAGCTTAAAAAGTTGTTTAAAAATATTTTGGTTCAGTTTTCTCCAGACTTCCTACCATTCGGACAGCTATATGTGTTTCTACCATTCTTATCTTTTTAATATTATCAATATTATTATTACCACTTTCATTACTTTTTATCATTTTTGTATGAGTACAATGAGCTTTCCTCACAGTGAAACTATACGTTAAATAACTCATCAAATACAGACTCAAGTACAGAATATACTGGCAAAGATTTAGGGGAAATTTCTTCTTGTTTTCTTCTTTTTTGTTCAGGCTATTGTCGTTTCTTAGATGTACCAATTCAGTATTAAATTTTCATGTGTAATTTGCGTTTTATAGGGGTTAACAAAACCTTAGGTTTTATTTCGATCTTGATTGTGCAGCTGCAATCTCGCTTCCGCCTCTATGAATTTCAATCGATGAATCTTAATGTAAGAGAAACTTAAGATCCTAGCTTGGAAGCGGTGTTCGTGGATTCAAATGGATGATCGCTGAAATTTTACTTCCATTGCCAAATTTTTCTATATGTTTGCCTAAGCGTGAGGCACAGTGGAGATTTGCATATCTCTTATTGACTTTGTTGACTCTCCTTTGAAATTCAAATTGTGTTGCAATAGCAGTGTGTCAAAATCGTCCAATCGGAAACAATGCCGAAACACCTAAACGCAAGTCTCGGACGTCTTTTTGAGCGAGGATTTGTCCGATAGTCGAAGAAGAAACACAAAAAACAGGTGAAAGAGATAAAGTTCTCGAGAAACGTCCTTCATGGTCTAAAGCGCCCTCTTAGCTCTTAGAATAAAAATGAGCTTCTGTACGTTTTCTCCACATGGCGCTTATTTCCTCGTATTCTGCTCTGCGATTCTATTCTCCGCGAGTAAACCTATGGCTTGTAAGTATAAAGACAACGATTTTGTTTCTTTATTTGCGGTTAATGTTCGAAACACATTAGCGAAATAGTTCGATTAATCTACTCACCGCAAATCGTTGTGGTTTTACGACTTTTCGTGTTCTTCCATGCCGATTCTGATTATGAAAATGTCGATTTTTAAGAATCGACAATAATGCGAAATACGAAAGAAATTGAGATGTAATAAATCCGAGCCATGGGGGATATTTGTATGAAACTGTCCCTAGAGCGGCCATTCTCAACTTAGGTTTGGTAGCTATTAAAGTAAGGCGCTAAATTGGATACAGTCTCGCTAAAAATATTTCATTTCTTTGTCAACAGGGATTAATACGAGAAATTAAAGCGACTTTTGAATCTACGTTGATGTTGCTACAACAGATGTTTTTGTGCACGCGTGAAAGTTATTTAGCTTCCAATAGCTCGCTTCTTTTCAGTATCGAAAAAAGTTTGAGTATCTTTAATATTCCTTTCGAATTGTCTGGAAGTAACGAAGCTGATTTTGTCTAGCATTGTTGTGAATTATAATCAACACTTTTGAATGGATATGAGTTTGCAGAATAACGGGAAATCGAATACAGCATCCCTGACCTTATTTCACTTCGCGTTATGCATTATTGATGAAGCGATTGCGAAGTGACCTAAGCTGGTACTCGTACGTTTTTTGGTGCTTAAAGTACTGGGCGACTTTCTTTATTTTCAAAAACGAGCGCTGTTGTAGCAAAAACTTGCAATTCGTACAATCTGACACAAATTGTTTCATATCAAATTCACGAATCGGCACACAGCGCTCTTCCCATTTAAGAGACGGTGCAGAAATCAAATCTTGAAAAGCCTGACGGCAGTGAGGGTTTATTCAGTTTGAAGTCCTGAATGCTTACCTACCCTTACCTAGGATTTTTTGTTTTCCTGTATTTTATCAATTTACTTTATTTGTGACAAAACTAAGCTTTGGCTGTGGGGTTTTTATTTCTATTTTATTATATATATAAATTATATATATATTATTTTAAACAATGTTTAGTCAGAGGAGCCCAGTTCAGCGNAATCTGACACAAATTGTTTCATATCAAATTCACGAATCGGCACACAGCGCTCTTCCCATTTAAGAGACGGTGCAGAAATCAAATCTTGAAAAGCCTGACGGCAGTGAGGGTTTATTCAGTTTGAAGTCCTGAATGCTTACCTACCCTTACCTAGGATTTTTTGTTTTCCTGTATTTTATCAATTTACTTTATTTGTGACAAAACTAAGCTTTGGCTGTGGGGTTTTTATTTCTATTTTATTATATATATAAATTATATATATATTATTTTAAACAATGTTTAGTCAGAGGAGCCCAGTTCAGCGGGGCTGGTTTGAAATAGGGCCCTGATGAAAAGAAAAACAACACAAAAAACAATAACAGATAAAAAAAAAATGGAACAACTAAGCATAGCGAAAGTTTGGAGGCTCAATTTGGCGTGGATCTAAAGTGCCTTTTTAGACCAGACCCAAACTTTTAAAATTATGCTGGCTCCTCAGGGCCAGAGGAAGGGTGTTCTAGATCTTGGCTCACCGCTGAACCTGAAGAATCCCTGGTACTTAGTTGTCCGAGCTAGCGGCAGACTGAGCAAATCGCTATGGTGCGTGTTGTATGAAAGGAAATCGCGAGCGTGGCTAATTTCATCTAGTAAATATGCTGGAGCCAGGCCATGAAGGCTCTTAAACACTAGTATGCACTTTAGATAGTCCCGGCGGAACTGGAGCGAAGGCCAACCGAAAGTGTGAGATATCTGCGATTGTGCGACTGTGTAGCCTTTTATAATACTGGCGGCACCGTGACGCCTATGCAACTTATCCAAGTACTCTCGGTCAGCCTTACTGCAGGAGTCTCATACGATCATGGCGTTATATATAAAGTGTTAAACACGACTCACGTGGAATGACCTTGCGCGCTTTACGAAGCATGCCGAGCTTTGCCGAAAATATCAACTGCGAAAATATCAACTAGCTAAGACAAGCCTCTGATGTGTACCAGTCAACATTACCTTAATTTTGCTATAGTTAAGTAGAGGAAGCTAGTTATCATTAACCCACTCTATTATATGCATAAGATCTTCGGATAGCATAGATTCTCTGAGGGATTTTATGGAAAAATGAAAATTCAATGGAAAGAGAAGAGGAAGAGTGCAAAAAGTAATTTAACAATTGGGAAGTTTTTTTATGTCTAAGTACATATCAAACTTTTCTAAAAAAAAGTTCATCTATCTATCTATCAGTTATTAAATATTGTGACAGCTTAGTTTATTAAAAAATGCCATGGACAATTTATTGCAAATCGTGACAGGTATTATAAATGGCGATGATTATGCGACAGGTTTTTTTATTTAAAAGAGCAACACGGTTTATTACAAATTGGGACAGTTATTAGAAAGTGCGATGTTTGTGTAAAATTGCGACAGCTTTTCTATTATAAAGTGCAGCACATTATTTTGAAAATTGCGACAGGTGTTGCAAAGTTCGATGGATTTAGTAGAAATTGTGATAGCCATTACAAACACAGAGCGACGAAT